ATATAATAAAATTTGTAGTGGAATTGGGGACAGGAGTCAAGTCCCTTCACTTTCATGGGCTTTACTTTCTTCCCCTGAGACATTATTTTCAACAGAAGATGGCTTCTTCTGTACCTTTTTGTGCTTCTGAGACAATCCTATTTAAACCCCAGGGCTGTACTCAGTGCTGGATGATTCTGGAGTTTGAGCTTCAATTGTGAGGATGATGAGTAAGGAAACTGTTCTGTAAGCTGTGATTATGTGGAAACTCTCTGGCTTTTCGATATCTCCCAGTTTCCTTGGTGTCTGGATATGCTCTGGGGTTTTTTGTTCTTTTTGGTATTCAGACATGGTATTTAATATGCGGGGGTAGACCAGATGTCTTTGGATTGTTTCTGGAACACTTTCTTATTAGGCCCAGGTCCTTTCTGGGTTTCAGATAGAGAACTTGATTCAAGGACTTTGGTAGTTTTGTTTTATTCTTTAATTTATCCTTCCATTTTTTCATAGATCAAACACAATATTAGGGAGAATAAATCATAAAAATGACATTGACCTTGTTTTCTGTGTATCAAGGAGTAATAGCTGATATTTGTTGACCGTTGAAATATTTCCTGTCAAGCCTTGACCATTTGCACATACTATCTCATTCGGCCTAACACCAGCCTTCTGAGACAATAGACTTTTTCTATTTCTACTTCACAGATAAGAAACTGAAAATCAGCAAGCTAAAAGCAATTTTCTAAAGATCACATCAAAATATTCTAAGCAGAGGAGATGAGACTTACAACCATTGAAAACATTATCAGTCAAGAGTGATTATGTTTTACTATAGGGTTCACTTTTGATATTTTACTTTCTGTATTCTATGGTTTGACTAATGTATAACAACACATATTCCCCCATTATAGCTTAATTATCCCCAAACATCTCCTGTGTTGCCCCTACTCAGCACCCTCCCCACCCCAGTTCCTGATCTGGGGCATCCCCAGATCTTTTAGTCTGTATAGACCTGCTTCAACCAGAACATTTTACAGTTGGAATCACACAGAGTGTAGCCTTCTCTGATTGTTCTTTAACACAGATATACAAAGTGAAGTTTTCTCCACAGCTTTTCATGGCCAGATGACTCACTTCCTATTATCTCTGAAGGTAATCGTCTCCTTGTGGCTTCTCCATAGTTTTATCTTCTCCAGAACTTTTGGTTGAATCCAAGTATTGGTGGTTATGACCGCAGCTTCTGTAAGTTTTTGTATGAACAAAGTGTCTTAAAATATTTGGTATGGAGATACAGTTGTCAACATCACGGATTTGATTTGGGCCTGGGCTTGTGATTCTCATGGGCAGAAGCAGATAGGTAGACATTCTGGAAATAGAGAAGAGAATAAGCAGGCATTTCTGAGCATTTGTGTCAGGCAAACTGCTGGGTGGTTAACATTATTTTCCTTAAACCACATTGTTAGTTCTTGGGGCATTCCATTTGCAGTATGAAGCCTTATAGTCATCTACATAAAAGCTGAGAAATGGTTTATATCTTTTCCAAATTCACAAAGCCAGAAAAGCCACAATTTGAACCAAATCTGAGGCCAATTAATCTGCTCTTTGTCCTGTCCTATGTGGTTCTTCATCTAAAGGGAAGGGGATTAAAGAAAAGAGCTGATTTAATTATAAGATGCAAAAAGGTATGTGTAAAGCCTAAGAATGAGGTTGCAGCCAGGCCAAGCATGACATTGGCTTTGGAACTGTGGGGATGTCTCTGAACTTTGTAGGAAGTCTCTGGGCAGTGTGGGAGTGTTTCTGGATATCGTAGGAGTGTTTATGGGAAGTGTGGGAATGTCTCTGGGCAGCTGGCAGTTGGTGCTGAACATCAGGTGTGCAGAATGAGAGCCGAAAGTTCTGGGAGCAGGAAGGATCATCTTTCTCCAGTTCATAAAATTACCAGAGACTTCTGAGGATATGCAAATTTCCACTGTAGGTGACCTTTGGGAGAAGGAACAGGATATCCGGGGTTGTAGTAGATCAAACCAATGGAGGAAGTCACATGTGCTTTCCTGACTGCCTCTCAATAGATAGATATCTCAGTCCCAGAAAATGCCCTTTTGGTCATTGCTACCCCTACAACATTCGGGCAACAAAAAGATAGAAATCAAGACACACACACACACACACACACACACACACACACACACACACACAGAGAGAGAGAGAGAGAGAGAGAGAGAGAGAGAGAGAGAGAGAGAGAGAGAGAGAGAGAGAGAGGAACTTTTTAGAGTCTTTTGCAAAGTCAGTCAAAATAGTTCAAAGTTGACAAGACAATGTCACAAACAGAAAGGTTTTTAGAGGTGTTAGAAGTGTGGCTTGGTGGTAGGGCTGGTGAAGTACTTTCCTAGAATATGAGAGGCCCTGGGTTCAATCCCCAGCACCATAAAAAAAAAAAAAAAAAGAAAAGAAAGTAATCAACTCACAAGAGCTTTGAGATCAGAGAGCTTGAAGCCAGGCTGTGAATTGGGAAACTTCCTGTTCTCCCCATTTGTGAGTAGCTCATTAACTCAGAGTTGCCGCTTCTGTTTTGTTTTTGTGTTTTGAGACATAGTCTTACCATGCAGTTCTGGTTGGTCAGGAACTCACTATGTAGACCAGGATAAGATCCATCTGCCTCAGCCTCCTGTGCTGAGATTAAAGATGTGTGCCATTACACTGGACTAGTTTTATTTTGTTTGTTTGTTTATTTATTTGTTGTTATTTTCTTTTGTGGGGGAGTTTACATATATATACCATGGAAAGCTGGTCCTGAAACTGATGCCCGTAGTGTTGTGCTGATTTTTAAAGATGACAATCTGATGCTTAAGGAGCTTGTGATACTTAACCTAAGACTACCTGTTACTTGCTTTTCTGGTATGAAAACCCAGAAGGTGCATGTTGTGCTGAGCCCTGGACCACTACATAGACTGCTTCAGAAAATGAATGGGTCCTGGTACCAACCAGTCCTAGAGCACAGGGCCATTTATTTGTCTAAAGAATTACAGTGGTGAGGGTAATGGGTCTTTTGGAGGTCTTCTAGAACACTTCCTAAAGCACAAAGAAGCAGCATGCAAGGGGTAGGAGGAGACAAGACTCACATTCCTCCCCAAGTCAACACTTCTCTCCACATGCTCACCACATTGCATCACTGTGTTCTTCAGCCTAGGGACTGGCAGGGCTCGGGAAAGCCCTCCCTCATCCCTCTGCAGCCTGTTGATTTCAGCTCAGGAGGGCCCAGGATCATATTTAAAAGAGAAGTAGGGGATTCCTCATTTGTGTGGGGGAGTCCCCGGTGGAATCCTCTTGACTGAGGCTACTAGTCTGCCAGGAGAGTGGGAAGTAGGGATTCCACTGCTCAGGGCATGAAAACAAATTTCTCCCATGCCTCCGATCAGGACATTCTGCCAAAAATAACCTTGTGGCTGTTGTTCTTGGCGGAAACAGTGGGCATTTCTTTTTCCTATTTTCTTTGTTAGTAGGGAATACACCATATTGTAGAAAGGATCCCTGCTATTCCTGACCTCAGACTTCTAATTAAATTTTCCAGAGACAACGTCTGTATGTAGCTTCTTGGTGCATTCTTTGAGATATACTCAATGTGCACAGAAATGTTTCTGGTTTTTAACAGACATGAATGTTCTTTACATATGGTTCTAAGCCCCTTGGTATTTTCACTTAATAGATCTTTGACTTTGCTCCATTTTGAGTTTCTCTGTCTTTCTGGCTACCAAGTCCTGTGCATTTTTATCTCCAAGCTTCTTCTCCTTACTGTTTTACTTCTTACTCTCATGTGCTGACTGGGTTCATGTTAGGTTTTTAAAGCTGTTGATGAGACGGGAAAGGTCCAAGGCTTAAGAATAGCTAATTGGGCCAGGTGGCAGTGATGCATGCCTTTAATCCCAGTACTCGGGAGGCAGAGCCAGGAGGATCTTTGTGAGTTCGAGGCTAGCCTGATCTACAGAGCGAGATCCAGGACAGGCACCAAAACTACACAGAGAAACCTTGTCTCGAAAAACCAAAAACCAAAAACCAACCAAGCAAACAAAAGAATAGCTAATTGGCTGGTGGGATGACTCGGTGGATAAATTCATTGGTCCCAACATGACAACCTGAGTTTGAGCCCCTGAAACTATGTAAAGGTGGAAGGAGGGAACTGATTCTACAAAATTGTCCCCTGACATGCACACGTGCCATGGTATGCATATGTGGGGACACACACACACACACACACACACACACACACACACACACACTACCCCAAATAATACATAAAACTAACTAATGAGAAACTACATCTTTTAAAAAGGGTTCTTGGTGTTTGAGCCTAAAGACCTGATATCGATATGCTGAACTCCCATAATGGAATGAAAGACTGACTCCTGAAAGTTGGCTTCTGACCTCTACACATGTGTGCATGCACATATGCATGCATGTATACACGTGCACACACACAAGCATGCACACACATACACACACACTTGCACTCACGTACATGCACACATACTAAATAAATAAGTAAATAAATGAATGAATAAACAAGTCATGTTCACATATATTGTGCTTTGAAGGGTTAGAGCAGGTTGTTTAGCCCCTTGAGAATAGGGTGTGTTTCCTCCTGTGGAAGAGAAAGCACACAAAAAGCTCCCAGAACTTTCTCCTAATGTGTTCTGGGAGTCTGTGCCCCTGGTGGATTGATTCTTTCTAATGAGCGCTGCGATTTTAATGGAGAACTGGGGCCCTGTGAAGCAACACAGTATCCCAAAGAAGAGTTTGGGGAAATGAAGTCAGTTTTCAGATGCTTGTGTGATAGAGCAGAATTATCTTTTCCCATCAGAAGAGATGTTATAGCAGGAGAAAAGCAAGGGGTGGGTAGCAAGTCTGGGTCAAATCCTCAAAGAAAATACTACTGTCTTTTGTCAAGTATTTTTTTTTTCCCTGTGGGCTGCTGTATTCATTTCACCTTTCTTTTTTCTAAATATCCATCTTTTTTCCTTCCTTAGGTGAAGTATCCTCCAATCCAAAGTCTCAGAGCACAAGTTACCAGTAAGTATTACCAAAAGTTACCTTTCTCTAATTCTTTTGTATATCTGTGTAGTACATGTATGCCTGTGTTTATGAGTGCACGTGTGTGTGTATGTGTGTATGTGTGTGTGTGTGTGTGTGTGTGTGTGTGTGTGTGTGTGTGTGTGTGTGTGAGGTTGGCACTGGGTGTCTTCCTTAATTGCGCTTCTGCTTATATTTTGAGAGGAGGTCTCACAATGAAACTGGAGCTCACCGATTTAGCCAAACAGGCTGGCCAGCAAACTCCAGGGATCCACCTGTCTCTGCCTTCTCAGAGCTCTGATTAGAGTCATCACTGTGTCACTGGGCCTGGTATTTTTCTTTTTCTTTTCTTTTCCTTCATTTCTTCATTCCTTCCATTCTTTTTGGTGTGATGAACTGAACTCAGGTCTTCGTCTTGTGCAGCAGACAGCTCACTGACAGAGCCATCTCCAAAGCCTCATATCCATGCTTTTACTAGGCTCTTTTCTTTGGTATCTTAATTTTCCTAGAACACAGGATCTGTCATTTCTCTTAGGCAAGTGTTGTATTCTCAAATTGTTGGAGTCTGAATATTATTTTATTTTCAGGGAAAAATGGCATTAGAACCAAAGCAGTTCCTGTCTCTGTACTTAATGTGTCTTTCTTAATCCTCCTAGAAATGTTTTTAAGGTAGCAATTTCATTTTGTTTTCATATGAGGATTCTAAGACAGGCTGGCTGTAAGACACCTGCCAGTTCTACTCTGTAACATGATAGTACCTTAATGAGAGCTGGGGGAGGCCCTATATAAAGAAAAACTGATACTTTAATCAAGAGATTATTATCATTTGGGTCCTTAATTTCTACCAACCACTGGAAGTTTCTGTATGAGTTTTCGAGTATTTATTAAGTTCTCTGAGCTGAACAGGAAGTATATTTTGTCTTAATAAGTCATTCTTATTTTCTATTCAAAGTACAGCTCCTGGGTCTGATACAAAGTAAGAATTATTGAATTGGGGGCAGCACTGGGGGCCTGTTAGTTCCTATCACTGAGGAGCATGAGCCAGAGTAGGTGAATAAAATGCAGTTGCTTAGCCCTTCAAGATGCTATTCAGGCTGATGCAGAACTACAAGAAACTCAGGCTTTGGGCTTGCTTGGGAAAGGCCAGGCACAAAACCACTAAAGCTGCTACTTGTCCTATTTTCCCTCTTTCTCGTCCTCATCCACCTCTTCCTCTTCTTCCTCCTCCTTTGCTCTCTCTGTGGCACTGACTCTTCCCAAGCTACCTTCCAAGAAATGCTAGTTATAGGAGATAGAAGGAAGAAGCAAGAAACATGGCTGTTTCCCTGGGCTCTTTCTCCCTGCTCCACGGGACCGAGCCCACTTCCATCCCACAAGCACCCTGTGCTTGGCTGCATTACTAAGCTTCCTTGACTGCTGGCAAAGACCGCTAGTAATGCCGTCAGTGAGTCTGGTTCCCGGGGGAATGTGGAGCATTTGTATTTTGTGCTCAGGTGGAAAGGTGTAGGAAATGGTTAAGTGAAGTTGCTTTGAGTCAAGGTAATAAGGAATGGCAGGACCAAGGCAGTGAAGGTCCTGTTGTCTCATCATGTCTAACTTTTGCTCTCTAGTCTATCCACTCGGCTGGAAAGTAAACACTGATGATGCCATCATTTCTTGTTTTTGAAAAAATCAGGGAACCTGTCTTTCCTGCCACACATCCGAGGTGACAATGGCTATAACCTCTCCACTCTGTCCATGGGTACAGCAGGTTCCAGATGTTGGTACACCACAATGCTCCCTTGCTTTCCTTCCAAATTCTCCTTCCCTATTAGTTTTTCTTCACCCGATCTAGCTGTGCTGGAAGATTCTTGTCTCATATTTTGCTTAGGAATAATCTTATTTTCAATTCTTTTTAGGATGTGAGAATGGGAGACTATTCATCAGCCTACCCAGGAATGAGTATCAAACCATGGAGGTGAAGAACAACTCAATTGCCATCACCTGTGATGGGCTTTATCTCATCTACACGAAGGGCTCCTTTTTCCAGGAGGTCAAGATCAACCTTCATTTCCGTAAGGGTCGAAGTCCCATCTCTATGCCCATGATGAACAATGGTCAAAGGGTTGACTTCACTGTGGTAGCTTCTTTGGCCTACAAAGATATAGTTTACTTGACTGTAAATGCTCCTGACACTTCCTGTGAAGACCTCCAGATAAATGATGGGGAATTGATTGTTGTCCACCTAACTCCTGGTCGATTCTGTGCCCACTGAAGATCTTACAGTAGCGCTGTGAACCAGGTGCCTCTGTGAATTCCACTCCGAGGGTGGACAGGACACAGGTTTTTTCTTCGGAGAGATGAGTCCATCAAGTTCAACTCTAGGAGATGTGACCAAATGCAGATCCTACCCTACTTCCTCACTCACGGATATTTAAAACCTGTCTTACATGACAGTTGACCGCTCAATCCCATGATTGCCTTGAGCCTACTAAGAGACCTTCTGGGAATGAGAAAATAAATATCTCTTTGAAAAGATTGTTTCTGTTGGTCAGAAGATTATTGTAATAAACATCTGTCACTGAAAACAGCACTTGATTACTATTTTCTAGACACTGTTTGGCATTGTCAAAAGAAAGAGCAAGGAATGGAGCTAGGAATCTGGAAAGGGTGGTGCCCACCAACTAGTAGGAGCTGAAGTGCCCTCTCGAAGGTTACAGTGATCAATGTTTACATGTTGCCTAGATCCCTCTCTCATTTCTTGGGAGCTCAGAAGAAAGATCACCCTGTGGAAGCCAGGACTTGAAGACACTGTTTAAACTATACAGTGCATTCTGGACTTCTGTTCTTACTCTTCTCTCCTGGCCTCCAAACACACCCAACAGAAAACTCCCTTCAAAGAGCTGTCCTGGGGCTATGATATCACTGAAAAACTTCATCAAGAATGTAAAGAAAACCAATAGAGCTTTGTTTCTTCTACAGGGTGGGAGAGATAGTTGACTCCCAAGTTTCTTTTTATTATTCAGGATATTAGTGAACTTGATGTGTCAGGATGAGGACTTTCACAGTCTGAGAACTGGTTTGTAAGTTCTCTCTTCCAAAACTTTCATGTAAATTTTTGATAATTTTTTAAATTGTAGTATTTTCTGGTTGTTTTCAGTAGAAGACACAATACATCACAACATCTCTAGATGATCCTGTGCTACAACACAGCCCTTATCTCTTGAACCTCTAGGAAGTTAAAAGTCTATTAATCCTTGTACAAAATGAACTCAGTTATATTTGGAATTTTTTGTCTGATAATTTTATATATTCTCTTAAGCATCTATCTATAACTATTCCCACTCTGTTTCAATCTTTTATGAAAAGAAGCTGAATAAAAATGCTACATAAAAGAATTTGTGCATGAGATAACCATGGTGTTACTATTGGAAAGCCTACTGTGGGCCACACATTGGGCTGCATGTGTTACATGAATTACTCAGGGTAAAATATTCTGTGATCTTTGTCTTGGTGACTCAGGAGATGTGTGTGTGTGTGTGTGTGTGTGTGTGTGTGTGTGTGTGTGTGTGTGTGTGTGTGTGTATGTGTGTGTATTCAGTTCTGGTTATTTACTATGCTTTGTAAAGTTGTTGTTATCTAATAAGTAACAGCTGAAAAAGCAATTGTTTATAACTATGGGTTAATATTTAAGAAAATGCATGTTTTGTTTTTGAAGTTTGGAATTTAAGTCTGTATAATGTTATGGACGTGCAGTGCACAGGCCAACTCTAAGTACCACTGTTGTGTTGGTTATTGTTTTGTTGTCTTGAGTGCCATGGTCTTTGCTCTGGAACCTCACTCCCCTGGAGCACACCTGGCCTGCTCCTTTTGTGCTGGCCTCTGATAGCCACTCTGGGATAGTGCTGCCTTGTGCCAGCCTCAATCCCCTGCCTGACTCCATGTGTGGTCTGTGTCTCAGTTCCCTTATCAATTCCTTCAAAGGAATAATTAACCCTGTACTCTACACAGGGAAGAGCTTCATGGAATGACTGTGAAATGAGAAGTCAGGAATTCTCAATTTGATTCAGTCACTAAGCAAGTGACCTTGGACAAATGACATTATGTTTCTGCGTTCTGCCTCCCTATATCATCCTGTAACTGAAAGTCATTAGATTATAGGATGATATAGGGAGGGCAGTCTGTTTTTCTTTTTTTTAAATAAAGGTAAAAAATTGCTTTATTTTTAAGATATGCCTTAACTACACACTGTATTAAGCCAGTTTTGTAATGTCAATCATGTGTTCTTAAACTTATGAGGTGGTTTCCTGGTTTTAAGCTATAATTTTGTATTCAGTGCATTCCTGGCTCTCAGAAGAGTATAAATATCAATGTTAACAATATAGATAATAATACTGTTGGTATTTACATGGATAGAATAAAAGACCTTAGAATCTACTGGTGGTTAGAGTGTTGTTTTTCTTTGTGTTTCTTTTCAACATGTCTTGATTAACTAATTCCTCATAAGCACGGAGGATGGGACAAGCTTTCTGACTTCCTACCTGCCTCTGTCCAAGGGACTGTTGAGCTGGAAGTCATGTTCATGGTTCAAGGGAACCAACTATGCAGAGTCCTTTCAAGGACATGCGGACCTTCTTTCACATGGGACTTTTCATCTCGTATCTAGCCCTGGATGATCTGAGAATTAGGTCCCTTCTGCCTGGTAGTAATTATTTGCTGTTTTAAAAGGAGGTCACAAGTGTGAGTGGCTTTTGTGACATGGTATGACCACAGGAATCTTGGTGCCACCTTGGTGATATTTATGACTCTCTCTTCCCTAAGTGCTCCCTATCCTCAGCTTCTTTGGTCTCCCCTTCCACTTTTCTCTTGCCTTTTCTTCTCTCCCCTCTCTTCCCTTCTCTTTATTTTCCTTTCCTCTCTTCCCCTCCCCTCCCCTTTGTCACTCTCTTTTTCCCTTCCCTTCTCTTTATTTCCCTTTCCCTTTCCTTCTCTCTCCTCCTTTCTCTTCTCCTCCCCTCATCTCATCTTCCCTCTCCACCCTTTCTTCCCTCAACTTGCCTTTTCTATCCTCTGCCTTTCTTGGTCTTTACACTCTTTCTCTGTCCACTGCTCTGGCACTGGTATTGTGTGGAGCTATACTGCCTCCTCCTCCCTCTGTGACAAAGGCCACTGTTAAGAACTTAACAAGCCATGATCCACCCTATGCATGTGTTATATTTCTTTGTTAGATGGAATTTAGTTCCCAGTATTTAAACACTGAGAAATTTCTCAGTGCATTGAACAATAAAACAACAGAATGGTCTTGATTTTCGGCATGCTAGTAACCATCTCCAGTTGGAGAACAGTTTTCCCAAGTTCACCATCCACACTTTGTTCAAAGGTACTCACACCAACTCACTAGCTTCCTAGCTTTGAAGCATTTACATGGCTATATCTACTCTGTGTACTTGCCAGTGCCATTGCTTATATACTAAGAATAGCTAAAGTCATTTTTTTTAACCCAGATACTTTCCATCCTAATATCACATGTATGGTTATTATTTTTATTATTAGTAAAACAAAAACAAACAAACCCTCACAGTATTGAGTACTCAATCTATTCTGGCATTGTATTAGCCATCTTCTGAGACTTGTTTAATTCTGTCCTCCCAATAACTCTTTCAGGTAGGCATTACTGTGATTCCTCTTTTAAATACTTGAGACCCTCAGGTAAACTTGCCCAAAGTCCCACAAACTGAAGACCAAAGACTGCTGACACCAAAGAGCATGTTCTTAACCACTGTACCTCTGGCCTTCATGAGCATCTCTAGTGGATGTAATGGGCACTTCTACACAGCATGTTCACTGTAGAAAAGTCTGCCTTCCTAGCTAAGCCCATCTTCCTGGTCCATGGTGTTGACTGAAGGCATCATAATCATTCCTGAATCTACCTCTTCCCTCCTTCACCCTTTCTTCATTGACTATGGCTTCACTTATTCTCCCTCTTAGTCCTGTTTTATACTATTGTAGTAAGTTCTCACAAGGCCTACTTGTGAGTTCTAGTTTGATACACATTAGTTCATTGAATGAGTAAAATGTATAAACAAAACAAGGTAGAGGATAGAGAACGCACAGTGTTGAGAATACAGTTTTAAAGACTTATTTACTAGCTAAGTGATTTTGACAAATTTTGTTCCAACCACTCAGAATCATATTTTCCTCCTCTATCAAATGAAGGTATTAATATATGTCTTAGTTAGGGTTTCATTGCTGTGAAGAGATGCCATAACCACAGCAATTCTTACAAAGGAAAACATTTAACTGGGGCTGGCTGACAGGTTCAGAGATTTAGTCCATTATCATCATGACAGGACATGGTAGCACACAGGCAGACATGGTGCTAGAGTGGTAGCAGAGAGTCCTTCATCTGGATAGGCGGATGTAAGCACCCTCACTTACTTACCTGACCAAGGTCACCTGATATGGCCACAAATAATAAAACCAGGTTTGGACTGGAGGGGCCACAGCAAGACTGAGGCTGTGACCATTTTACTGAGAGAAATCAGACTTTTTATACCTTTATCAGAAACAAATTACAATGGCATTTGACAGTATCAATACAGCTGTAATTGCCAGGATACAATGATGTTTGCAAGCCATACAAGGTACATGAGATAATGTCTAAGAACCAATTGTCCTGTCAACTTTCCATACTTCCTTGACTCCTAAGGAAACATGTAGAGAAACACAAAGCAGTGTGAACACTTCACTGCCCAAGGGAGTGTGTTGGTCTCTCATGAACTGGAAGGCATGTTGTGCCCCAGAAGCCACAGACTCTAACCTGAAAAACCTAAGACACATACATCTCAAGGCAGCTAGATCAGGCCAACTCCATGGTCCCCTGCAGGCAGGCAGCAGGAAGAGAGAAACAATGGGTCTGTCTTGGGCATTCAAAACCTCAAAGCCCATCCTCAGTGATGTACTTCCTCCTACAGGGCCACACCTACTCCAACAAGGTCACCTCCTAATAATGCCATTCCCTGGTGACCAAGTATTCAAATCTATGAGCCTATGGGGGTCATTCCTATTCAAACCACCACACATCTTATTTCTGTACTGTTGTGAACATAAGAGAGATTCCTGTATAATGCCTGAAAAAAGTTGGTTTCAATAAATAATATATAAAAATCATCTGTTCTAAAAGGCAGTAAAGGTCAAATGGATAGCACAACTCTGGTCTTTGAGAACAGAGAAGTCACTGAAGCATGAATGTTTAGATAAGAGAAGAAGGAAAGAACCTAACGGGAAGGTTTTCGTGTGTGAGGCTCAGAGGTGGGACTTCTCATGGCATGTTCTAGACACAAGGAGTGTGTCCACTATGGTTGTTCCACTTATTCACTCATTCCCTTTTCACTCAGTTCCATATTCTTATTTTCTAAAGTGAAATCTTGTGTGTGGTCATGATTGGAAATAAG